TACATACATACATACATACACAGAAAGGGAGCTGTCTTTATCATAAAATTCTTGAGTTTTCAGCTCGCCATGGTTCAAAGACATGGGAGGGCTTATCATACCCATTCGCCTGGTTTTTATCAGAAAACACCGTGCGCTTTCTCAGAAAAGACCGCACGCTTCAGGAAACACCGCACCCTTTGTTAGGAATAGCTGGAGCTCGCTGTCGGGAGACAGCTATGCATCAGGCATCCACTAGACATGCATGGCGAGTGCTATGTGGCAACAGACGCAGCAGCCGGCAGCAGAGTTTAGGGTTTAGGGTCTTGGGCCGCCCGTCATCAGCAGGATAGGCATATGCTTAGATTTGGAACTGGATCTGCAACAGCAGGCGTCTGTAGAATGCATAGAGCTACGTTTGCTGCGGTGCCCCGGGAGGATCGTCCGCTAGTCAGAAGCGGTTGTTTGCCGTGCGAAGAGCTGCACTTTGTATGTTAGTAGACAGGGTCATGAAACTGCAGTTGAACATTGTGAATTTGCAGGGGCGAGGGAAATGCATATGGCATTGTCTGAGTTCTCCGTAGTTTTGAGTTGCCTTGACCGACGCACGCGTCAGAAAGAGCAATTGGCTGTCTCTGATAATTGCCAGCTTTCGCGCATGATAAATTTACTCATATGGCTGATAAAGTTTTGCTTTGCGCGCGAGCGAGACAGTCGGCTGTCTGATAAAGTGCGCATGATTAACCCATATACGCATGTACATGTGTGTATGTTTATGTATGTCTATGTGCTTATATGTGTGTGCGTAGAGAGACAGGCAGACAGATACAGGGAGCCTGAGAGGGCGGCTGGGAAGCGCGACAGTGTAAAGAGCTGGTGGTTTTGATGCTTGTGCTTGCCGCGTATCGCCTCTCCAGGAGTGTTTGCAAAATTGGGAGGACACGAAGCGTCAACTGCTTAGCTGGAGCCTTCAAGCATTTCCCGGCACTGGTTCTGCAAACCGAGGCATAAAGGATGCGAAGGCTGCTATCACCCAGTTCAAAAAGTCTCCTGCAGCGCTCGAAGCCCCAGAGCTTGTTTGCTCAAAGCTTCGAGTGAGAGTCTGCGAAAAAGCCATCCCCTGCGCGACGCTGACACACCTCCTTTTTCGAAGGGCCTCGGGCTGGGAGCGCAAATTGACAATACCCTGCGCGGCGAAAGCCTCAAGTCAAGAGGCACAACACCAGGCGCAGAACAGACGGACAGGAAGGATCATGAATCATCAGCACTGAGACCCCAACTGAGCGTGGATGTTCCGACTGGGGAAACCAAATGCGTACGAGACGAACGAACCGAATGGAGGGGGGGGGTGGGGAAGTGGGAGGGTCCCCAGGTCTGGTGTGGGCCTGGCTGATATGGTCTCGAACCTTCGCTCCGACACTGGAGCCGCCGGATGCCAAAGTCCACGTCTCGGCCGACGAGTTTCTGGTGCTGGAGCGCGTGCCCTTCCATCCTGTCTCGCCTGATAGGCGCTCGAGAAAAGACTCCTAGCAATCCTCCGATGGCCGTGCCGAAGTGGAGTCCTTGATTGATCCGATTCCAACCAGACAACCGAGAGTCTGAAATGCAGCCGAGGGCCCGCAGTGAGCGACAGAAAGTGAACATCGCTGCCGAGCTGCACCTTGGAACCAAGAAAAGGTCTTTGTATCGAAGTGCAGAGGAGCTCGGGATCGCTTGTCCTGTCGGCTCTGAGGCCAGCCACTCCCAGCGAAGATGCGGTTTCCATGTCCGACGCACAGTTCCTGGGAGGAGTCACATACGTTCTCACTTTTGGGCCTTAAGGCCACTTTCGAGTCGGCCAACTACCGGCTCGGTGCGTCGCTTTCCAATCTCGGCCGCCGCCAACCTGGCGCCCGGCCTCAGTCTGTTTTGCAACCTTTTCCGGCAGCATGCTGCAATGCCGCGGTATGCCGCACTGCTCTGTCAGGCGCTCACGAAGAAGCGCCTCAAAGAGCGTGGAATGATGTGACAGATAGGCCGCGTGCTGTTCAAAATGCCACACTCCCCAAAACCCTGAGAAAAGTGCAGGCCTGCAGTGCTTGAAATTTATGATGAAACCTTGTGTATGCACGTGTTCGGATAAAGGGATTGCTTCCTAGACTGCTCTGCAAAGCAGAGCAGGCAGAAACAGCATGCCGGCAGCGGCGCGCAATTCAGTTTATGCTTTACCTGTACCTGTAGCTTCAGCAAGTAGATTTGCATTGCACAGTGGTGATTGCAGGCTGTATGTTTTGCGCCGAATTTTCGACTTAACTCCGTCTCACATTCACCGGGGTCCAACTCGGGTCCCGACACGGTGGAAACTAGCGTCGAAAGAGCTGGGTGTGGACAGCACTACCGTCGATCTGCTACATGAAGCGGGGCCTTGTATGCCAGGCGGGTTATTATGGAATGGGAGCTCGAAAGAGGATGCTATTGGTGTTTTTAGCAGGCTTCAACCGAGCCATGTGGGAGTCAAGGAGCACGCAGGAGGAGTGTCTTGAATGGGCTACTGGGTATGCAAGGGCTGCGAGAAGTATGCAGCAGGATGTCCGCCGTGTGCCATGGTATCACCTGAGCAAGCAGCCGCTGCAGCGATTGCACGCTGGGAGGCTGCGATGCATCTTGCCAGCCTGTCTGTCTCATATCAATATTGCAGGTGGAAGAAGACGGCATCTGGAAGCCATGTGATGCAGAGGACGCCCGCGTTGTGATGAGTGGGTGTTGATAGATTGCTAGGTGGCCGGAGGGTCGCAAAGTGCCAAGAGTCAACAGGTGACTCTCGCATTGCGTCTGGCTGGAGCTAGCCTGAAGCAGCGCGTGGACTGCAAGGTGCAAGGCCGGGGCTTTCGGCTTTGTGGCATTGCGATTCCACAGTGAGAAGCCTGCCGCTTTCCCGGAGTTCCATTTCGCTAGGGCGTTTGTTTCCAGAATCCAGAAGGAGGTGCAAAGTATGACAGACACCGTTTGCTGCAGACCGAGCTGCACGTACCGAACGTATTCAAGACCCAGCTTCTCACCCTTCGCGACCCAACGACATTCTGCGGTTTGGCAAGTCGCAGAGCTGAAGAGGTGTTCACAGCAGAAACAAGCCAAATCGAACGTTTGCACGGCGCCATAGCCATACATAGACGCACTAAGCCACTAAGCATTCTCGGTTGACATGCCTGCCGACCCACCGTTGCACTAGTCTTGGTTTAGAAGGTGGCCCGTGTAATTTGCGTAGAGTGAATGGGGAGGGCAGAATCGGGCCAGAACAAATCACAGACGGAATCTTAAAACGAAGCGACAGCGACAATCCAAACGACACCGACAAAACCGAAAGCAGCAATGTAAGCAACCTGACACACCCAAGACAGCCAGAGCCTAGTGACACGTCTCTAGGCCTGTGAAGTTAGTACAAAGAGTTCAGGGGAGAAGAGTCGTAATGCTTGTGGGCTTTTTCTGTAGATGTTCCAGGTTGGTTTGTTTTGCTTGGGCAGCGACAACGGAAACCCCATCTCTCGTCTCCGTGTAGTCCGTTATCCGGCTCTTATCCGACAGTGGGGGACAGCTGTTGAGATACTCGCACTCGTGGCGCTCTTGATTCTATGGTTCGATGAATTGTGCTGTTTGTTTTGCACTGCCCGCGTGGACTTTTAATTATTGCCTCACTCGTAGAGCCAGAAATCATAATGCACTACCTGCGATGTCTGGAAGGATGAATATTGGTTAGTTAGTAGGTTTAGCCTGAAAAATTAAGCCAATATATGTATGAGCGTCAGCTGTAGGCCGAGAAGTTCAACAGATGCTGCTGCTAGTGAACAAGGTGTCCAGCAGACAGTTGCAAGCCCCCGAGTGTCTCAACTTGACATCATTTCCGACCGGGACTTTGATTCGGAAGATTTCTTATTCTTTTGGGGCTAAGCCCAAGTCTTCGGAACAAGTGGTCACGGATAGCCGCCCTAAAGATTCATGTGCCGCCTTGCCTGCTGTGTAAGGCCCTAAATGGCTTTTAGGACATGCCTACCTGCGTGTGAGTGTGTGAGTCGAAATGGCTTTTAGGAGGGAAACAGTGGGTAAAAGCTTCGCCTGCATCATCCGAGTCGCGTGAGTGCAAATGGGCAAGACCCGGGGCGACTCGTCTCATTATTCTCTTGTTCGAGGCCCGTTATTGTAACCTCCACCCCTTTCCGGAAAGACCGAATTAGCTGGTTTCCTCGGCCCAATGTTGCAGTCTTGCGAACACCTTCAAAAACCTGCGAGGCTCCCGAAAAGATCGAGGGGTCTCTAGGGTTTACGACCAGGGACCCGGAGGTTCACGGACTTCGGGTTGTAAATCCACGGGCTGGGCTTGCCGCTTGATTGTATGTGCGGCCGAAGCTTTTTTCATCGTCGGGTTGCAGGATACTGACGCGAAGGCGAGGTTTGATCAAGCGACCAGGACGTCGAGAACAGGGTTTTCGGGTACGTCTGCGGACCCGTTTCGGCACTTCTGTTGGGCAGCAGCGGCCGCCTCCGATGTGGATGTTGCGGGTTGTGTACGGAGTGGGACAAGCGGGTGCCCTGTGATGCGAATGATCTGGCTCTGGTCACCGTCGAATTGATCTGCACTTCACACATTGGACAAGCCACTCGCGGCCTTCAGAAAGTGCAGATTCTTACAGTCCAGATCTGCCTACAGTGTCCATTTCCATGCAAAATTGTACGAATGTTGTGGCAAACCTTGACCAAGTAGCCGCAAGTTGCAAGGTCGGACATTTTCGCCTTGTTTGGACACGTGTTTGGATTAAATGTTATGTTGTAGCTTGAATTCCTAGCGATTTGCAAAATGTGCTACTTACCTCAACAATCAAACTGGGGGGCCTGCACAGGCCGGTTGCACTGATCTCTGAGTTCCTCCCCTCCCCTCCCCTC